TTAGTAAACATGGCCGCTGTCAGAAGACTGGGAGAAATAAGCAATGCAAAGAATACAGAGCCGGCAATTATCTAGAAGTATGCGTTTGTAGTTATTTTGAAGGTATGGTTAAGGCCCCATTCACACCAGGGCGACAGTATTTCAGTGCTGTTTTCGCACGGCTTTAAGTGCGTTTTCGCGCTTATCACAGATGGTTTCTGTTTATGTATCAGCGCTTTTTTGAAGCTCCTTCTCAGTTGTCCAATGAGAAGAAGGCTTAGTTGCTGAGATGCAAATAAAAATTTCCATTGGTCAATGGAGCAAAACGAGCTGATCATGACAAAAGAAGCGCGGACTATTTCAAGCAACATTCGTGTTTGTATGTGCAATTCCGTGTGTTTGCGTGAACGACCCTCATAAGAATGTTTGGGATTTTATTTGCACGTGTTTCCGTGCGGAATCCCTGCTCATCTCCCGGCCGAGAATCCGAACTGCGCATGCGCCCGCCCCAAGATCCTTTGCGGCCGCACGAACAATTGCGGACTCTCGCTGCGGGAGCGCGCAGCGATAATAAGGTCAGTCTAAACCGCTGTTTAAGCGTTTAAAAAAAAAAAAAAACTTTTTGCCTATATCTACTGCTTGCTAGCAGTAGATATAGGCAAAAAAAACGGAGGCTTTAGAACCCCTTTAAGAATTATTATTTATTGGCTATTTACACATTTCATTATGAATGTTTCAAGCTAAAGGAAGTTGTGTATTTGGCGCATCATTTTATGTAATGCCCAATGACATTCATTCTGCAAACGTTTTCATGAGATGTTTAAATCATTGTTACACATGTCTCTAATAACTGGATTGTGTAAAGGTTTCCATTAGTGTTGTATTAATAGGAGTTGTACACCAGTTACAGCATCTGCCAGAGAGCAGTGATACATATTGCATAATCTCCCACTGCTTTTCTTTTTATCTGAGTTAGATTGACCAACACTGATATATTGTGTTTTCAGTGTTGGTCCCGATACTATATTTTCAGCCATTTATTACTGTCTGTGCAGATTGTGGGTTTGGTCCCCCCCCCTCCCCCCCCATACTTCTTGTCTGGTGGAACCGTTGTCACCATGGCAGTAAGGGTAAGATTTATTTAGGGCCCAGTTACACTTACACGGTTGGTGAGTTGCTGTAACAAGTGTATTACATGCTTTGGTGCATTGCGGTGCCATTGTAAATGGCACTCCAGAACACTAGCCCAAAGGACCTCGCACCCGTGTGCTTTTGGTCTGGGGAACAAAAAACTACATGTCCGCTTTGTGTGGGTTTTTTTTTTCTGGTGCATGGCAGCCCGTTTGTTTGAATATGCTTACTTATCGCAACGCATGTTACTCAACACAGCAGAACAGTAAAGTGTAAATGGGTCCCATCTGGGCCCTGGATAGTGGCAAAAATCCTATTCTAGCCAAAACAAAAAAAAAGTTTTGACAAGACTATTAAAAAAACTTTTTGCCTATATCTACTGCTTGCTAGCAGTAGATATAGGCAAAAAAAACGGAGGCTTTAGAACCCCTTTAAGAATTATTATTTATTGGCTATTTACACATTTCATTATGAATGTTTCAAGCTAAAGGAAGTTGTGTATTTGGCGCATCATTTTATGTAATGCCCAATGACATTCATTCTGCAAACGTTTTCATGAGATGTTTAAATCATTGTTACACATGTCTCTAATAACTGGATTGTGTAAAGGTTTCCATTAGTGTTGTATTAATAGGAGTTGTACACCAGTTACAGCATCTGCCAGAGAGCAGTGATACATATTGCATAATCTCCCACTGCTTTTCTTTTTATCTGAGTTAGATTGACCAACACTGATATATTGTGTTTTCAGTGTTGGTCCCGATACTATATTTTCAGCCATTTATTACTGTCTGTGCAGATTGTGGGTTTGGTCCCCCCCCCTCCCCCCCCATACTTCTTGTCTGGTGGAACCGTTGTCACCATGGCAGTAAGGGTAAGATTTATTTAGGGCCCAGTTACACTTACACGGTTGGTGAGTTGCTGTAACAAGTGTATTACATGCTTTGGTGCATTGCGGTGCCATTGTAAATGGCACTCCAGAACACTAGCCCAAAGGACCTCGCACCCGTGTGCTTTTGGTCTGGGGAACAAAAAACTACATGTCCGCTTTGTGTGGGTTTTTTTTTTCTGGTGCATGGCAGCCCGTTTGTTTGAATATGCTTACTTATCGCAACGCATGTTACTCAACACAGCAGAACAGTAAAGTGTAAATGGGTCCCATCTGGGCCCTGGATAGTGGCAAAAATCCTATTCTAGCCAAAACAAAAAAAAAGTTTTGACAAGACTATCTTTACAGCCTTTTTAAATAATCATGCCAATACTGATACTTGTATCTCGTGACAAATGGGGGGAATTTAGCAAAACCGGAGCAGACAGAATCTGAAGCAGTCACAACTTCTCATCAGTTTGTTCACTTAAGCTTGAAAATGAAAGATTAAAGCTAATTGAGAGGAGTTTATCACAACTGGAGCAACCAATGTCCTCTGCACACTGTGGCTGCACCCATTTTGGTAACTGAATTTGTGCTGCTGAGTGATTACAAGGAAGTCAAGTCACTAAATATGCATTGTGGTTTAGGTGTTATGACACTTTTCTGATTTTTGTGCAGTCCTGGCCAAAAATTTTGAGTGACACAAATATTTTCACAAAATCTGCTGCTTCAGTGTTTTAAGATGTTGTCAGATGTTACTCTGGTATACTGAAGTATAATTACAAGCATTTCATAAGTGTCAAAGGCTTTTATTGATAATTACATTAATTTTATGCAAAGAGTCAGTATTTGCAGTGTTAACCCTTTTTATTCAAGACCTCTGCAATTCCCCCCGACTTCTGGGCCACATCCTGACTGATGGCAGCCCACTTTTGTATAATCAATGCTTGGAGTTTGTCAGAATTTTGTGGGTTTTTTTGTTCACCCGCCTCTTGAGGATTGACCAAGTTCTCAATGGGATTAAGGTCTGGGGAGTTTCCTGGCCATGGACCTGAAATTTCGATGTTTTGTTCCCCAAGCCACTTGGGGAACAAAATCACTTTTGCCTTATGGCGAGGTGCTCCATTATGCTGGAAAAGGTGGGGGGACAGCAGGGGATTGCAGAGTCACATCGGTCTCTCCTCCCTGCTGGTTCTGGCTGCAGTAGTCTGTGTCCCTGCTGCCTCTGCCCACACAGGCGGGGAGAGAAGCAGGGATTGAAAAGGACACAGACCGCTGCAGCCAGCCCCAGCGGGGAGCAGAGCAGCGGTTGTAACTAATCTAAAAGCAACTAATCGATGATGAGTATCATTGCCAACGATTCCCATCGAATTTCAGCGATTAGTTGTTGCAGCCCTACATTGTCACCAAACCGTTCTTGAATGGTTGGGAGAAGTTGCTCTTGGGGGATGTTTTTGTACCATTCTTTATTCATGGCTGTGTTCTTTGGCAAAATTGTGAGTAAGCCCACTCCCTTGGTTGAGAAGGAACCCCACACATGAATGGTCTCAGGTTGCTTTACTGTTGGAATAACACAGGACTGATGGTAGCGCTCACCTTTTCTTCTCCGGATACTGTATTTTCTAGATGCCCCATACAATCGAAAAGGGGATTCATCAGAGAAAATGACTTTACTCCAGTCCTTCGCAGTCCAATCCGTGTACCTTTTGCAGAATTTCAGTCTGTTCCTGATGTTTTTCCTGGAGATAAGTAGCTTCTTTGCTGCCCTTGACACCAGGCCATCCTCCAAAAGTCTTCACCTCACTATGCGTGCAGATGCACTCACTCCTACCTGCTGCCATTCCCGAGCAAGCTCTGCACTGTTGGTGCCCCGATCCGACAACTGAAACAACTTTAGGAGACGCTCCTGGCGCTTGCTGGACTTACTTGGGCCCCCTTAAGCCTCCTTCACATCAATTAAACCTCTCTCCTTGAAATTCTTGATGATCCGATAAATGGTTGATTTAGATGCAATCCTTGTAGCAGCAAAATCCATGCCTGTGAATTCCTTTTTGTGCCAAGCAATGATGACTGCACGTGTTTCCTCGCAGGTAACCATGATTAACAGAGGAAGAACAATGATTTAAGCACCACCCTCCTTTTTTAAAGCAGGGGTTCTCAACCTGTGTAACTTTAGGAACCACATTTGTTCTCGATTGCCGACCCAAATTGCACTGCAATGGGACTATGTCCTATGTGGACCCTGTAGAGGTGTTAGGAGGCAGAATGTGATGTCACTCCGGTCCCGGCACGTCTACGAGGGAACATGTAAGCATTGCACGTATGGATGGAGCTCACTCGCAGCCATATCGACACTCGGCGCCGGGCAGCATATTTTGAATGTCTGCTTAATGGACGGTGCTGCACTAGGGGGAGGCTAAGGAGCCTCACACCTAGAAAAGTGGAAGGCATGCGGTGACCCATTGAACATGGGGTTGCAACCCACTTTTGGGGCACAACCCCCCCCAGTTGAGAACCAAGGTTTTAAAGCTTCCAGTCTGTTCTAACTAAATCTGCATGACACAGTGGTCTCCAGCCTTGTCCTCGTCAACACTAACACCTGTGTTGACGAGAGACTCACTGACATGTCAGCAGGTCCATTTGTGGCCGGGCTGAAATGCAGTGGGAATGTTTTTTGGGGGGTTAAGTTCATTTTCATGGCAAAGAGGGACTTTGCAATTTAATTGCGATTGATCTTCACAACATTCTGGAGTATATGGTAATTGCCATCATACAAACTGAAGCAGCAGACTTTGACTCAAATATCAATTTTCACATTCTCAAAACTTTTGGCCAGGACTGTACTTGGCAGCTTTTTTTTTTTCTAAGTTTCAAGAATCCCCTGCCACCTTGGAATTTTGTCACATCACAGTAAAGCTTTCTACTATAAATGCATGTTGCCAACCACCCTCCACCCACATCATGTGATAGACATCATATTTTGTCATGCATGTTATATTAATAGGTTTTTGTTTTGCAGGTTGCTGGATGTTTGATGTGTGACGCATGTACTCTTCTGGGCTCCATATCACTTTAGTACATCTATTGGAACTGTTCTAGCAGCTGTGAAACCAGATCCAGCTGAGCAAGGTATGAGGGAGCTGCATATGACCAACTTATTCCTCACTGTGGTATTTCAATCATTCTTTAAAGATTTCTAGTGGAATGAGGAGGTTTACAGCTTTAATCTTTAGGTGGTTGTGTTTTTTTAATATCTTGAGCAGTTTGTGTTTTTTAATATCTTGGTGCAGGTGCTCAAGGTAACGAAACTCGGTCGCTGAAAATCGCTGATCTTTCACAAATGTATTAGCATTTTAAAGCTTGTTTTCTTTTTTAGAAATCTGCAGGTTTCGTTAAAGTGAAATTAAAGTAATATATTTGAAAAGTACTCTTCAGACCTACAATTTTACCATGTGTGCGAACAATAAAGAAAATCTAAAGGCTCCAACATTGAAAGGTTGCACTTTGCCAGAGCTCCTGTATACAAGAGCTACTCTTATACAAGCCGACACCCATCTGTGGAAGCCCTAAAAGTGTCTGGTGATTCCCCTGCAGTAGAGCAGTGTTGTCACCCAAGGACAGGACTACAGAACACCTCTCCTCTTCTCCATATCATTGCCCACAACACCACCTGTGGAATACTGTAACTGATAAGAATACAGCACAGGCATAAAGCATTGGAAGTCATCAGCGCACATGTTTTTTTTTCCCCTAACCCAGGCAAGGGTCAGGTTTGCTTTAACAATTTTAAAGGGAGATGATGCCAGCAATTAATGTTCTAACCCTCACTCACGTTTTCCAGTTTTGTTAGGGTCAGATAAAAAAAAGGGCAACAGATTCCTCCATGTACGCTAAACTGTGTGAATGGAGGAATCTCCCACTGGGCCAAGCTTCAGGTATTTTGAGAGCCAGCAGGGCCAATTGGCAAGATCCTGAACAACGCTTGCCTCCAATCAGATTGTTCAGGTATTTTAACAAAGCTTAATTTCTGCTCCTTGTTTAGGATACAGCTCACTAGCTGACAAATTGTGAAATTACATTGCTACCCATCAGCCCTTTCTTGCGTTTAAACTGGTCACTGCCTCATGATGTGCAGTAGTTTTTTATTTGTATTCCTATGGAGGCTTCTGTAGAGATGGTTACCAGACCCTAGTGGTGTCCACAAGAAAGCCAGCCAGCTCAAATCCTGTATTGGAAAGCAGCGTAGTCTGTGTTTTTCCTCATGAATTAAAGCGTACAGGTATAGATTTGGTAGTTGAACCTTCTAGATGTATTTTGCAAGAGGTTCTGTTGTGGTGGACCTGATTGTGATGAATCAGAGGTAATCGGATGTAAATGGACATGTTCCCTTGCATCAGAATGCCCATAGACTTAAAACTTCTTCCATTATTCTGCTGCCTGCAGATTGTTGTGGTACCTCCATATTGCTTTCCTCACACCAGTTGGGGCTTGAGACAGAGCAGATTGTCATTAGCAGGGCACTGTGTGAAAGTGATCCCCCC